ACGCACCTTGTATAATGACATATCGATTTTTGATCTGATCAAAAATCGAGTTTTGGAAGCCAAAAACGTCCAAAATTTTTATTTTTTATGAAACGACGCTACTTTGTCAATTTTTAATGTTCTTTTTATGGTATTTTTTTGTACGGAGAATATCTTCTAGTTTAACGAGAATTTTTTATTTTTAGGTTTCATCCACGGAGAAGGCCGGAATCACTGCAGCAGTGGAGAACCTTTTTTTTAGCGCCATCGGAGATCTCGTATAACTTAAAATTTTTTAAAATAGGTGTGCCTCTTAACAATGACAGTGAAAATAAAGAATTGTTTGTGTCATATATTTTAATTTTTAAGTATTGAAATAAGGCAAAGTTCTAAGTTATTTTTAAATAATTGACCTTTGGAAAACCTTACTCAAAAGTCCAATACTTTAAATTAGAATAAACAAGTAAGGAAGGTCTAAGTTCGGATATAACCCAATATTTTATACTCCCGCAAGGTAAAGTGATACGATGGATTTTCGAATATATTTTAATTTAAAGTAAGAAGTATTGGATTCATTATTTACAATCACATGGTGGAAGATACACTATTACTGGAAAGAGATTATTTCGAAATTTCATTAAGATTTCTTACATATTGACCGATAGATGCGGTTAAAAGTAAACCGAAAGTTCGAAAATATTTATATTAGGTATTTGGGGGCTAAGGGAAGTATTCACCCGATTTTACCCACTTTTGGCACAAGGGCATGCCTATTCGAATTTCAATACTAGAACTCATAGAGTGACCGATGTGTTCGGTAAAAAGTCAGTCATATTCACTGGTGTCCACATATTTGGTGTCTGGGTCCTTGATGGGTTATAGTTCGATTTCGATAGTTAAAAGGGAAGTAGGTGTGGTTGTCAACAGATTCAGCCCATTTCCATGGTGTGCAATAGTAATAATAGGATAACCTCACACACAAATTGAAATTGGTTAAATAGTTCCTTATATATAGGACTTCACTTAAAAGTGGGCGGTGCCACACCCATTATCCAATTTTTACACCGGCTCCCATTAAGCCTTTCCCTGCCATCCTGGCTGTGAAATTTAATGCTTGTGGCTCTTTTATTCAGTGAGTTATTTCACTTTTAGTAATTTTTAACATAACCGTTATATGGGGAGTGGGAGTGGTTATTGCCTGATTTCTTCCACAGAAATGCTAAAAATACTTCTTCATGCCAAGTTTGGTTGAGATAGCATCAGTGGTTTGGAAGATATGTACGTTGATCCATTTAGAGGGCGGGGCCACTCCCACTTTTAAAAACTTTTTAGCCTAGAAGTGCCCCTCACCACGGCACCATATTACAGTTTTGTATCTTAATTTAGTGCTTAGTTATTACACTTTATAGGTTTTTGTTTAACGGAGTATTGTGCGCGTGGCAGTGGTCCGATTACGCCCATCTGCAAAACCAACCCTCTTGAGTGCCAAGGAACACGTGTACCAAGTTTCACCAAGATATTTAAATTTTTATTCAAGTTTTCGCTTGCATAGACAGACAAACAGTCACTTGGATTTCAACTCATCTCGTCCACCCGGGTTTTTTATATAATATATACTTGTATATATATAACTCCATATCTATTTCGATTAGTTTAAGGTGATACAAAGAAACGTTAGGCATTATACCGGGAAAATTTTTAAATAAGCGGTTGTATGTATGTTAGCCGCCTGAACAAATTTGTGACACGCTCAATGTGTTTCCATTTGTGTGAAATTTGAGTGATAATGAAAGCTTCATGAATTCGCTCATATATGCATCATTTTGCTACTCACAGGTGTACCAAATTCATCCAAGAAATGTCGCTAAGATTTAGTTATATCATTGCCATGCATTTCCAATTCAATCCAACACCAATACAATCTCCGCTCTGATTCATCGAACAAATATAAAATAGTCAATAAAAGTATTAAAACCGGACATCAGCACCGTGAAAGCATTATTTTACAATACTCTCACGGCAGCAGTCATGTCCGGTAAAGAAAATATACATTTTTACAATAGAAAAAAATGTTTACATATCAGTTGAAAACAAATCTCAATTTCTTCAAACAGCAGTTTCGATGTGAAATTATAACTCTTTGAAATAAATGAAATCATTCGGTTTGCATAACACCTTAATCAAAAATCATTTGGTTTGTAAAAACAAAAGCACATCAATTTCATTCGGTTTCTGGAACATGCCTGTATACCTTTCTTTGCCAATGGTTTCGACCTACTATGATTTTTTGTCACTTTTTACCATTTTTTATGGATGAAATTTTGATGATGTATTTTACTTGATTGCTCTATCTCTGGAACCCATTATGATGACATCATTAAGGAAGACAACGGTATAGTCGTTAGACACACGATCCATATTTACATTTCTTGAAGTCTATGTTGCCTAAAATTCAATTTAACGTCTTATTCAAAAGATGACATAATTTTTATACTCTCGCAACCTGTTGCTACAGAGTATAATAGTTTTGTTCACCTAATGGTTGTTTGTATCACCAAAAACTAATCGAGTTAGATATAGGGTTATATATATATATAAATGATCAGGATGAAGAGACGAGTTGAAATCCGGGTGACTGCTGTCCGTCCGTCCGTGCAAGCTCTAACTTGAGTAAAAATTGAGATATCTTTATGAAACTTGGTAGACATGTTTCTTGGTATCTTGAGACGGTTGATATTGCAGATGGGCGTAATCGGACCACTGCAACGCCCACAAAACGCCATTAAACAAATAAATTGCCATAACTAAGCTCTGCAATAAGATACAAGACTGTTATTTGGTACATAGAATCACATTAGGGAGGGGCATCTGCAGTTAAATTTTTTTTTTTTAAAGTGGGCGTGGTCCCGCCTCTAATAGGTTTTATGTGCATATCTCATAAACCGCTAATGCTATAATAACAAAAGCACTAAACACGCTAGAGACATTAAATTTTATCTCTTGGATGGTATGAGGTGACTTTATAGGAACCGCGTTCAAAATTAGACAGTGGGCGTGGCACAGCCCCCTTTTAGGTGAAAACCCATATCTCGAGATCTGCTTAACCAATTTTAACAAAATTCGGTACATAACGTTATTTTCATATGTTATAGTGCGAAAATGGGCGAGATCGGACTACAACCACGCCTATTTCCCATATAACACCATTTTAAATTCCATCTGATTCTTTCACTTTCCACTATGCATATCAAGCAAAAATGATTATATCGGGGTAAAACTTTGCGTGAATAATACGTTTAAAGTATGCCACCTTGTGACCAAAAATTGTCTAAATCGAACCAAAACTGTTCAAGCCCCTAGGTACTAAATATGTGGACCCCAGTGCCTATAGTTGACCTTCTACCGAAAATATCAGCCAATCCACAAAGAAATCTCAAACGAGTATACCATTTGACTTTGCGAGAGTATAAAATGTTCGGTTACATCCGAAGTTAGCCCTTCCTTACTTGTTTACATTCTGCTTTCTGACACAACCATCTGGTTGGTTCATATACTGATCTAAAAAATTTTCCTGTTTAAACACGTGTTCAATATCTCAACTTTTTGTATGCAAAGTATGAAAAGAGTTTTGAACATAATATGTTTACACTCAAATTTTTTAGTCTAATAAATGAGTATCACGAAAGAAATTGCATTATTTAAATTTTATTGAGCTTCACATATTTTATTCTAATTTCCAAATAGCTTTTAAGTTAGATTTATTTCATGGATATTTATGTGAATAATTATTTTTATTTGGAAGTTAATTATGTAATATATATTTTTTTATTGGGTATTTATTAGAGATTGTTAAAAATGTTGGCTACATACCTAAATATAGTCTGTGGGTGGGATCCTCAAAAAATAGTGCACACAACTTTCTTCGTATATAGTACTAGTATACTTATTACGAATGTTTTTTTTTGCTTGGTACTCCGAAAAATTTGTTGATAGACACCTCTAAGAAAGGCTCTCCAAGTATCAACTATTAATTGTAACGGTAGGGTCCTCTGCTTTACTTATCATCGGATAGAAAGATTCATATCTCGCTTCCAACTACTTGAAAGCATATTTCGTGATTTCTGTAGGAAATTGAATGCTCAGGAATGTCCTCTTTTCTTTACTGTCCAAATTTGGAATGCTATAGAACCCAACACTTTTCATTAAGAGAAATTGCGAGCGAGTAAAAAAGTTTCTGGGATACGTAATATAATAAATCGCATTGAAATATGAAAGTCGAAAATCGGTCGAGAAGTTGCTGGTGTGGTAAAAAAAGTTGACAGTGTCGTGACTATTGTCCAATTTTTATACCGATTCACATGCAAGACTACTGTGCTAAGTACTACAGTACTTAATGCTTATCACTAAAGGTCACAACCGATTTTACCCACATTGTGAAAGGAAAATTTATTCGCATAAATTACTTGTATTTTTTATATATTTAACGATATATTCGATATAAAGTCAACCGAAAAGTTGTAAAGGGGTCGAGAAGTTGCTGGTGTAATAAATTCGCCAAAAATTTGACGGCGTCACGCCCAAGGTACGACATCGACACCGATTTAAATAAAAACGTGACGTGCTATCTTTAATTACCGGTAGAGAGAAATGTTCCTACTGCATCAGGTTGATATAATAACTTTAAAACTTTGAGAAATATTTATGTGTATGAAACCTTTCAGAAGGAGCCTCTCTGTCTCCCTCTGCCCCTCTGTACTGCAATTCTATGAAATAAATTTATATCGTAATTCAGATCACTTTGATTATATAATACTATATTTTTACCAATTAGTTTTTAATGTTACAAATGATCGTAAAATGAACAAACCTATTATGCTCTGTGCAACGTGTTGCGAGAGTATAAATTTATTAAAGTTAAAATAGTTGATTCTTTATTTGCTTAATGGAATTATTTTCAGTGTAGTATATACATAAATACATGAAAAGTCGTATTAATACATTCGATTACCTATATATTTTAGGTGTCAATGAGCCTTATAACTGAACAAGTCTGTGAACTGCATTATTCCAAACAATTGGATAGTACATCTAATGCATTGCGTAAATCTTCACCTAGCGCTACTTTAGACATTCCTGCTGTTTTAGATCAGCAATTAGCAGCTTTGACTCATCATAAACTACAGTTAGAAAAGAAGGGCATCTGTTTGTCACAACATAATCAAAGCGAAAAACTATTATCAGATGCTCAAAATTTTCCAAAATCTTCGCCATATGCGCTAGAAACTGAAGATTGTACATCTAACATCATTTACTCGAATCCCCATATATTTTCATCGCCCGTTGATTTAAAAGCAATTGATGCGAACGTATCTGAACCACCGGCTGATGCTGAAAATGTTCTAAATAATTTAAGACAAACAAAACTCAGCAAGTATATTAGTCAAAAACCTGTTACGAAGCTAATCGAAAACAAAGATAATGGTGAAATAATTCATATGCGGAGTAAGATGTCTTCTAAGGTCGTATGTGAAGAAAACAAAAAAGGTATGTATAAATATTTGAAATATTAACCTGTTTTAGTAATAAGAGACGAATGTGGTAAATATCGGAACAATAGATTATATTATATTACTTACTATATATTCTCCCAAATTTTAAGAATTTAGACTTATATGCTGGCATAGGTATGAACACAATCAGTTAGCTCAAAATGATTAATGTTTATAATGCAGAAAGTCACGGCTACCGAAACTCCAATATGTACATCGTATAAATCAGCGCAGAAACTAACACATATACATCGCGAAACTCATAAGGTCTTTGAAAGCGATGAACGATCACACGTACACAAGAGTTTCGGCTAGAACTGTCATTGGGATTTACGAAACTCATAGAAACTTTAACAGTAGTGCTGTTGGCTATATATCTGGCGATTTAATTGATAGGTGGCTTGCAGGGTAATATGTGGTTTTTTTACTAGAAATGTCAATGTCAGTAGTATGGAGATCACCACGGAACAATTGATGTCAAAAAAATTTCCCAAAATGGCTATAGGAGTGTGCGTCAATTTGCTATAACCTTATACCTTTATTACGGTATTACGTACTAAGAATTTCAACCAATTTCGTTTAAAGATTTATTGATGTTGTTAACCTGGAAATAAAAGAACATTTTAAAGGGAAGACGTCGTCCGGAAGTAGTGGGTTGTATTGATTCGTCATGTTCGCATCATTTCTCACAAACTCTTAGTTTAACTTTTACTGCCTCCAAATTACGACTTGCCTTATTGATTTTCTATACCCTGAACAGGATATATTTTGTTTGCCACGAGGGTTATAACACCCAGAATTAAACGTCGAAAAACCCTATAGAGTATATAATATATAAATGGTCAACGTGACGAGCTGAGTCGATTTACGGTAGTCATGTCCGTTTGTCTGTATATACGCGAAGTAGTGCCTCAGTTTTTGAGATATCGTTCAAGATAACGCCACAATTTTCGTCTAAATATTTGGATCTGATCACTATAGCATATAGCTGCTAGCATTGACTGACCGATCACAATGAAGGATTAATAAAAAATCTTTTCTTCTTATTAAGTAATCTTAATTCGACTTGAAGGTTATATTAAACAACGTGGTTAGAAAAAGCTAGCCAAACTTTTCCGTTGGAAACAAACCGTTGGCCTGTTACGTTTTCAGATTTAGTTACACATATAGTTACTACAAGAAATGCACTTGTGAAGAATATTAAGCTTCGGTTGCTTTTTCTTGTTTTATCAAGAGTTTAATAAGTTTTTCTACTGTTATTTTATCGTAATTTTGTTTTGTATATTCTCACTCTTGCAACATATTGCCACAGAGCATAATAATTTTGTTCACTTAACGATTGCTTGTAACATCTTAAACTAATCGAGATAGGTATAGAGTTAAATATATCAATTGATTTGCATACTGGAAAGTGAAAAAAACAGATGAAAATGATGTTATATGGGAAATAGGCGTGGTTGTAATCCGATTTCGCCCATTTTTGTTTGCAGATGCCCCTCCTTAATGTGATCCTGTGTACCAAATAAGAGTCGTGTATCTTGTTGTGAAGCTTAGTTATGGCAAGTTATTTGTTTTTGATTAATGGCGTTTTGTGGGCGTGGCAGTGGTCCGATTACGCCCATCTGCAATACCAACCGTCTTACGGTACCAACAAACATGTGTACCAAGTTTCATAAAGATATCTCAATTTTTACTCAAGTTACAGCTTGCACAGACGGACGGACAGACAGTCACCCGGATTTCAACTCATCTCTTCATCCTGATCATTTGTATATATATAACCCTATATCTAACTCGATTATTTTAGGTAATACAAACAACCGTTAATTGAACAAAACTATTATACTCTGTAGCAACAAGTGGCGAGAGTATAAAAATAAGTTTCAAGTTGATTTGTAGCGAGAAACATTTTTTCAAACGAGGTAAAGCGTATATAGTAAGCCCACCTCCGGCTCAGTTATATGTTATATCAGAGAACATACAAGAATGAGAAGGTGCAGGTTCGACATCGAATATTTGTAAAATTTCAACCGGGGAATTCACCCCGTGAAATATTAACATTCTTTTGAATTTTGGCAGAAGGGTATCTGTAAAAATTAAGCCATTTCTTGTGTGAACATTCTCAACAAGATAATTTTCATGAGAGCACCAGAGAATGAAAATATGTTATGCGAACATTTAAAATTTTAAAATTTTTAGTAAATCTTTAAGTAAACACATTTATACTAATTTATGAATTAACAAATATTTCTAAACATTTATTTAAATAATTTATGTATGTACATATGTATATGACATCAATATGAAGTCGAACAAGCATTGGCTCGGCAATTTTGATGACAATGTTATGTCAATAGTTATTATTTTAATAATTATTTATCTATCGTTTAAAAATTTTATATTGGGGTATATGTGCGTTCATATGTATGGTACATACATATACCTTAAAAAATATAATTAAATATGAATGTACATACAAGTATATACGTATATCTGAATATGTTTATATGTAAATACATAAGCTTTTATTTTTCTATGCATATAAGTATGCATTTACATACATACTAATCATCTAAACATGAACAATTTGCATACATACATATGTATATGCGTACACATATAAGTATGTAAGCCAATAACAAAAAATACAAAACATTGTTGTACAAAAACATTTTCTTTTATAAACGCGTAGGCGCACAAGCAATAAGTTAAGTCGCTCCATTAATAAAACAAAACGCCACATCTCCCCGGACAGGCGCTTGCCCACAAGCGGTTGTTGCGACGATAGCAAAAGCTAATAAAAATCATAAACTGAACGAGTTTTTGATGTTCCTTCGAGAAGGGAAAAGTGACAACCCCGTAATAGACAGAAAATATAGTCACTAGACAGAACTAGCAACAAAGTTTTTGTCGATTTTACATATTTTAATATCGATATTTAAATTAACTTCCTCGTATGTGGAAGTATTAAAAAAATATATTTTCCGCGCAACGCACGGAAGAAATCAAACGATTGGCTTGAGTGCTCCTGATGGAAGACTAAATCTCTTTATTTCAATTTACTCTTATGTATACATTTTTCTTATATGCTTAAGTCTTATAATAAGTGTCAATTTACAATATTCGCTTATTCAGCAATTAGTTTTGTTGTTTACATTATATGGGTGGTCTTAGCTTAATAAAAAGAGTATTTGTTGCTTAAATAAGCAAAGATTTTTTACATTTACCTTTTTTTCTGGACAAAATATCTGATAGGCAAGTATTTGTAGTATTAATTTTACAATACGTGTTTATCATTTCTTTTTTACAATTTTTTATATTAATATATTCTTTTTTGCATTTTGCAATTTCTTTGTCAATTACTAATTTACCGTCTTCTTGTGTGATTGCTCTTACTTCATAATATTTGCAATCATTTATAATTTTAGGATACTTAATATATATAACAATTACATCTTTATTTTGTAATATCTTAAAGTTAGAAATGTCCATTAAGTCAGTTATAGTCAATCGTCCGTGTTCATTTTGCATTATATTTTTTATCTCATTTAAATGTAAAATTGCAGGGTTTAAAATTCCTATTTTTGCCATAGCTATCGTATGAACCATATTTTGTAGTTCAGTTATTAAAAATTGATATTTCCTTTTCGTTAAAATTTTAACATGTGAATTTTCGTTTACATTTTTAATTCTTTCTGTTAATTGAATGATTATTTTAAAAATTTCAGAGTTGGTTGTGTATTGTTTATTGTTATTTTCAATTAGTTCGTTTAACTTATTATTTATTAACACTAAATCGTCATGATCTGGTGTTCCTGCTATCCACTTCCATAGTGTTCCTAATTCATTAATCCCTCTCTTATATCTTGTATCTTTATTTTGTATTTGCTCTAATAAAGTTTCGATAATTTCAATTTCTGGTTCTGTATCTAAATCATTAATATATGCTACCTCATTTTCATTATTCCCATGTAAATTATTATATCTGTATTTTTTATTACTATAACTTTTGTCTGAATTTATAAGTTCTCTAAAATAAGTTAAATTAGTAATATGAAAAATGTCGCCATAGTCATTGTATAAAGCTACGTCTCCGTCCTCTAATAAGACATAATCTTCTCTTGTATAGTCCACAATGTCCGTCATTGTTTGAACAATTAATATTAAAACAAGAAAAAACGTTAACTTCGGTTGCGCCGAAGCTATAATACCCTTCACAAAAACAAAGGCCCCTTACAAGAACTTGATTCCGAACGTTCAATTTGTATGACAGCTATATGATATAGTGATCTGATCTGACCAATTTCTGTGGAGAATAATTTGTTGCCTTAAGCAATAACTCGTGCCTAATTTCGTGAAGATATCTTGTCAAATAAAAAAATGTTCCATGCAAGCACTTTACTCCGATCGTTCAGTTAATATGGCAGCTATATCCTATAGTCATCCGGTCCATACAATTTCTTCGGAGATTAGATTAATGCTTTAAATAATAATACATGCCAAATTTCGTGAAGATACCTCGTCAAATTAAAGAGTTTTCCATACAAGCACTTCATTCCGATTGTTCAGTTTGTATGGCAGCTATATGCTATAGTCATCCGATCTGAATAATTTCTTCGGAGATTACATTGTTGCCTTAATTAATAATCCGTGCCAAATTTCGTGAAGATACCTCGTCAAATGAAAGAGTTTTCCATACAAGCACTTGATTCCGATTGTTCAGTTTGTATGGCAGCTATATGCTATAGTGATCCGATATCGGCGGTTCCAACAAATGAGCAGCTTCTTTGTGAGAAAAGTACAGGTGCAAAATTTCAGATCGATATCTCAAAAACTGAGGGACTAGTTTGCGTATATACAGACGGACGGACAGACGGACGGACAGACAGACGGACATTGCTAAATCAATTCAGCTCGTCACGGTGATCATTTATATATATACTTTATATGGTCTCCGACGTTTCCTTCTGGGTGTTACAAACTTCGTGGCAAAATTAATATACCCTGTTCAGGGTATAAATATTAAGGGTATTATTTTCTGAAAATATATATTCAAGATTTAATATTATCTTTATGTACTATTCTATTTCTGTAGTTAATTTTGACCTTATTCCCTAAATCTTCTTTTATTACTTGTTTCTTGTATCTAGGCTTTAGCTTATTTCTTTCCCCTATTATTTTTTCATAGATAACATCTCCACATAAATATGTTTTGTTAAATCTATTTTTATTTTGTCTTTCTAGCATCCTAGTTTGTGCTAATAAAAGTTTATCTGGTAAATTATCATGAGAGACCTTGTTATAAAGGACTTCAAATGGTTTCTTATCAGTAACCGAATGTATAGTTTTATTGTATTGGTGAGCGGCTCTATATATTGATTCTGAAAAGCTGATTAAATTATATTCTTGTTTTATACATCGTGATATTTCAATTATTGTTGAATGGACCCTCTCTATCTGACCATTTGTGGTGCTATGATTTGGGTTGCAGAAATAAATTTCAATCTGAAGTCTCTGCATCGGGGATTTAAATTGTACCGTAGTAAATCCTGGTTCATTATCAATTGTTATTCTCTTTACATTAGGGAAACTTTGTAATATATCTAACACTTTATCTTCTAAATTAATCTTATCTTCAATTCGTTTAATAACCAAAAACTTTGAATAACTATCGATACATGTAATGAATTTTAATGATTGTGCATAAAATATATCTATGTGTATTTGTATTCCCTCCTCTTTAGGTATAGGGACCTCACCAATAGGTATTTTTATGGGATGTCTATCATATTTATTTTTATTACAAATTTCACAATTTCTAATGTATTCTTTAAATTGTTTATGCATTTCTGGCCAATAGTAAAAAGTTGAGATTTGTTTAATATTTTCGTCAAAGCCCCTGTGCGCTCTGTTTTGAGTTTGCTCTATTATTGTTCCCTGGTCTTCTTTGTTTGGTATATCCATGGGAAAATTTTTTGTAAATAAAAACTTGTTAGTAATTGTTTCTTTTAATTTAACCTTTATTTCATATAAGTCTTCAGGTGTACAATATATTGCAGTTACAAGATTTGGTTGTAAAAATTCTTTTAGAATAGTCATTAAATTTTCGAGTGTATCATATTCAATAATATGTCTAGTTTTATTAAAATTATTAATAGATTCGTGAATGGTAAAGCGACCTTTACTAAGAAGTATTTGTTGCTTAAATTGATTCAATGGTTTTTTAGTTTCTTGAATTTGTGTGTTATCAGAACTCTCTGCTGAATGTTGTGTGTCCATTGATGAATCATCAGTTATAATATTTAAGTTTTTACGAGATAAGGCATCTGCGACTATATTAATATTTCCCGATTTATAAATCATTTTGAGAGCATATTCTTTAATAATGGTATGCCATGTTTTCTTTCTTACATTAGGATTTCTCGAAGAGACTGCAAAAGTCAAAGGTTGGTGATCTGTGTGTATTTCTAAATCTGATACTCCATAAAGATAGCTTCTTAGAGTTTTTAATGCCCAAACTATGGCATAAAGTTCTTTCTCATTCGTTGCATAATTCTTTTCTGTGGAATTCAATGTTTTAGAGATAAATGTAATAGGTTTTCCATCTTGGCTTAATACACCACCTAATGCATCATTTGAGGCATCGGTTGCTAATATAAATTTTTTATTAAAGTCTGGTTGCGTTAATTCGATTTGATTGGTTAGTAATTGTTTTAATTTTTCAAATGCTAAAATTGCATCCCGTTCTAATCGAACTTCAATTTTCTTTGACATATGCTGAGATACATGTCCATTTTCTCCAGATAAATGTTTGTTTAGTGGTTTAGCTATTGCTGCGAAATCGTTGATAAATTTCCTATAATATCCAATCATTCCCATGAAACTTCGAAGTTGTCGTACTGTTTTTGGTAATGGAAAATTAAAAATCGCTTCGACTTTATGCGGATCCGTTTTGATTACATCTTTTGCAACTATATATCCCAAAAATTCAACTTCATTTTCAAAAAATTTGGACTTTTCTAATGATATTTTCATATTCGATTTTTTAAGTAAGTTGATTACTTGATTCAAATGTTTTATATGATCGACTAGATTGCGTGAAAAAACAATTATATCATCAATGGCATTATCATCGTGGCAGAATTTTCCAATAAATTCTCTTAATACATTATCCATAGCTCGTTGGAAAATACTTGGTGCATTTTTTAAACCAAATGGCATTCTTAAAAATTCGTATTTTCCATTATTTACTGAAAATGCAGTTTTCTCGATGTCCTCAGGCTTCATTAAAATTTTGTGAAATCCTGATTCTAAATCGATTGTGGAGAAATACTGTGATCCTCCTAGATTTGAAAGTATAACGTTAGTATCTGGTATCGGATATGTATCCGAAATAGTGATTTCATTTAGTTTTTTGAAATCCACTACCATTCTTAATTTTGCTGTGCCATCATCATTGATACCCTTTTTTGGTACCACCCAGATTGGAGAATTATAAGGACTTTTACTTGGTCGTAGAACTTCGTTTTTTAAAAGATTATCGATCTCTTTATTCACAAAAGCATTTGATGCTAAAGGATACTGATACTGTTTACTCCAAATTGGAGTATTTACCGAGGTTCTTATTTCCGCACGAATATCCGTTCGAAACGGTAAATTCATGTTTATTGAAGAATGTATTTCATTTATTTTTTTCTCAAATATTTAATTCTTTCTTCATTTATGCCGGTATTTCCTTCGGCTGGTGCTTCAGAGAATTCTTCCTCTAAATTTATTTTGTTTATATAATCTTCTTTATTGTCGGTAAGTACGTCGACTGGCGTTGTAGAACTTTTTTGTTCCACAATAAATTTTTTATTTTTATTGCCGGTATTATCTTCGGCTGGCGTTGTAGAACTTTTTTGTTCCACATTATATTTTTTATAATTGAATTTTTTACTTTTGTTGCCGGTATTACCATCGGCTGGCGTTGTAGAACTTTTTTGTTCCACAATAAATTTTTTATTTTTATTATATTCATTGTGCTGGTATAAATCTTCAGCTGGCGCTTTAGGAGTCTCTGCTCCCAAAGTAATTATATTTCCTTTAGTGTTTTCATTTTTTAAATTGTCTTTTATCTCATGTTGCTCAGATTCATTTCCTAAGCTAAATATGTCTTCTTCCTTTTCATTATTTATTATCAACTTTTTTTCTTTTAAGTTGATCACTGCATTAATTTTTTTCAGGAATTTGTATCCAATTAAAAAGTCTGCTTCTAAATTTTCGATTTCGTAAAAAATTTGTCTTTTACCAAATAGAGTAATAAAATGATAATATCGTATTATCGAAAATCCATTAATTGTTTTTACTCTTTTATATATATTTAATTCGTTTTTATTCTTATAAATTCCTGATTTTATATAGCAACTTGTTGCTCCCGTGTCTACTAAAATTTTAAAGTTTTGGCCATTAACCCTGTCATGTAAGAAAATATATGGCAGAGTTAGTTTTGATCTAAAAAATGATCCTCTTTAATATTATTTATCCTTTGTGTTTTATTTGGTGGTTGATTACTTATTTGTGCGCTGGCATATGGTCGTTTATCTGTGGTATGTATTCTTGTATTCTGTACATTACTTGTATTATTTACATTATAATGTGGTCGATTTTGAATTCGAGTACTTGGATCGACATCCATTGGGATAGGTCTTGCCTGAATGTTTTGTTGTAAGGGCCTTTGGTTGTAGCCTCTTTGAAGTTGGGTTTGTGGAAACCGTAAATTATTATTGAAATTTCCGTTATTGATGTTAGTACGTTGTCTGTAACAATTCGGATTTTTCCCGAATTGTGATGCGAAAATTGCTCGCATATTATTCGATTCTAATTCTTGTGCTTTTGCCAACGCATTTGGCAAATCACTTGGTGATAATGAAAATATTATATTGGCTAAATTTCCATTTAGACCTGTTATATATATACGCAACGCATCCCGCCTATTCTTTGCGTTTAATTCTTTAGTTACGGCATTATCCGATCCGTAAGTCATTATTGTTTTATTAATAAGTAAAGTTCATTTTTCATTAACTTTATTATAGTATTCTATAATTGAAGAAGTGCCCTGTCGCAAAATACTCATCTCCTGTTCGATAATATGAGCTGGTCGCTTGTCCGTGTAAGCAAAATCGAGTCGTGCCAAAATGGCATCAAAATTAAGAACCGTGCCGTGATTGGATAAAATGTCGTTAGCATTGTTTGTAATTTTATTTCTTAGTATAGTTAATGCAGCAAAATATCTACGGCTGCCCCTTACATACAAACTTAAGTCGTTATTGGCTGATTCCCTTCAGCTAACGTATTTAGTTTGTTTGCCATTAAATTCTGGTAGTAACTTGACCACCTCAAGTGACTCATCACAATTGATATGTGGATCGATCACTTCTATTTTATAATCAACTACTGTAGTTGACTGTGTTAAGTCCTGCAGTTGCCTTCGCAACTCCTCTACCTCTAATTTAAGAGAAGCATTTGTTACAGTTATTGGTCTAGCAACAAGATTCTCGTTCTCACTATTTAGAGCCATTTTTTATTATTTTAGTTTTTGTATGTTTTAAATATGGGCAAGTTTCAGTTCTATGGTTGCCCTTGCAATGATTACAATAGTAAAGTATTTCGTATCTTAGTGTACTTGAATTATTTCCCATTAAAAATATGCTTTCTTCTAGGACAGGATGCCTTTTTTTATATTGGTTTAACGTCTTTCCTTTTCACATACCTTAATCATAGCTATTGTTTCAGATACTATTGTATCCCTATTGTAATAGTCCTCAATTGTTGCTACTTTGTTTTTTTCTATGTATTTAAAAACTGCCCTCATACAATTTATTTTATGTTTTTAGATGGGTCATCCTTTAGTAAATAATTTTTGGAAGGATTTTCAGTTTTCCCTAAGTTTCGAATTATTTTCTCTAGTTTATCAACATCCAAATCTATTGGTAATGCCCCTGACATATTTCTAGTATATGTATATAATAAATAATGTGCTTTTACTTTTTATCTTGTTTCTTTCTACCTTATCCCTTTTTTTTGAACTTTAATAAGATTTATTTGACCTACATTTGTCTGAGTCAGTTGGTAAAGCGTCTGTCATTTTTGTCAAAATTTTGGAAATACATTTTTTGTTTTATTTTCTTATATATATATTTTTATTAGTTTTGCCGTTATTACTTTCGGCTAGATTTGTGGAATCTCTGTTTCCTTTTTTTTTTTTTAAATAAATTTTGTGATCCTTTCTAGGAAAGGAGACTCTTTTATTCTGGAGGGTCTGGAGTTCAGAATCGCAGAAATGAGTTTATGTTATAAACCGGAGGGTTACCCTTGCGGTGGTGAATCGCGGTTTTTAAATATTTGGTTATATGGCTGATCGAGCCTTGATTTATAAGATGCTTTTTTTATAATTTTTGATCCTTTCTAGGAAAGGAAACTCTTTTATCCTGGAGGGTCTGAAGTACAGAATCGCAGAATTGAGTTTATGTTATAAACCGGAGGGTTCCCCTTGCGGTGGTGAATCGCGGTTTTTAAATATTTGTTATAGGCTGGTCGAGCCTTGATTTATAGCATGTTTTTTTTTATAAATTTGAGTACTTATACTTAAAATATTTTATGTTACTAGGATTATTACAATAATACAATTTTATTGTTATACATTTAATATATAT